TAATATAATATAGTTGTAATTTTTAATTATATTATAATTAAAATATTATTATTTCTTATGTAATATTATAATATGTTTTATAATATTGTAATTATATTAATTATATTAATTATTTTAATAATATTATTATATTTTATATCATAATTATAAAATATATTATATAATAATAGTATTTATATTATATTAAATATAATAATAATATATTATATTGTAATTATATATATTATATTATAGTATAATATAATATAGTTGTAATTTTTAATTATATTATAATTGAATTATTATTGTTTATTATATAATCTTATAATATATTTTATAATATTATAATTATATTTATAATTTTAATAATAATATTATATTATATATCATAATTATATAATATATTATATAATAATTATTATATTATATTATATTACATTTTATATATTATATTAATTATATTGATATATAAAATATTAATGTTATATATAATATATATGTAATTTTGTTAATATGAAAATATTCATGTTCCGTTTCATAGTATTCCAAAAATTACAACATAATAAATGAATCAATTTTCTTTTCTATTCTATTACTATTACCATTCTCATTCTTATTACTATTACTATTTCCCTACTGCAACCAAACGCATCTTAAATTTTTGATCTTTGGTAATTCAGATTCTGAACTCTCAATTTTGAAAAATATCACCCTAAATATTAAACTTTATTGCAATGACTTTAGTAGCCAAAAATTGCCCATGTTTTTTTTAAACATAAATACATCCGAAACTTTTCGTTGGTAGGTAAGTTGGATGTTCCGTTTCATCTGTTGATTGACGTCCATTATTGATTGGATTGTACTGCCAAGGATTGCAAACTTTAGGATTCTAAATGCCAAGATGCAACATAGAAATAAAGATAAATTTAAGGTGCATGAATGCAATTTACCATGTCTGAGTTATTAGCCGAAGCTCTTAAACTATAAGTATTATGATACTTTGAATATTGAACTTTTAATTTTATTAGTACTTTGTTTCTTGAACTTTTATTTTATAATAATTTTGGTCTCTAGATTGATAAATAGTTTATGAAATTTGACATAATAATTACATTATTATGGCATAATAACAAAAAAATTTACATGAATAATTACATTAAGTGTGAGATATTTTAATTTTCAATGGGTTTTAACAGTAGTGGAGATAACCAGTTGAACATGATCGTTGAGTAAAACTTTAAATTATCACGTAATAGATACATGATTACTTATATTAAATTAAAAAAAAATCATCAATTTTAATGTTAAAGTTGAAAACTGTTAGAAAAAAGTTCAAAGTAATCTATAAAATTAAAAATTTTAAAGCCAAAATGTGGACTAGGTTCGAAGCAAAGCTCATTATTAAGGATGTGTTTGGTTGGAGGGATTAGAGATGGAAGAAAATTGCACGAGGAAAAGCAAGGGAATGAAGAAACTAATAATTTGTTTGGTGTAGAGGATTGTCAAAGGGGAGAGACTAGGATGGAGGTTTGCAATCTCTGTTTGGAAGGAAAGGGAGGGACTCATATCATCATGTACAATATTTACAGTTTTATTCTTTATTTTGTTTAGTTCTCAAGTTCTCAGTTTTTTGAATTCTATTACAATGTATAATATATTTTTATTCTCTTTATGTTTTCTCAGATGATACATTTTTTGTGTCTAGAAACTTAATTTTCTAAAAAACTAAAAATCTAAATTTGTTTTTACATAAATATTGAACAAAAAAAAAGATCTCTTTGTTTTTACATAAATTTGTACCAATTATTGAACAAAAAATAAGACATATACTTAAATATATTTTTGTAGATATATCATTAATGCAATCTATACAAATATCAATACAAGTTAATAATTTGATACTTTTTCCTTTCAAAAAAAAAAAAAAAAAGGATTGATACCTTTTCAAGTAAAAGTGAATGACTCCCTCCCTTTTTCTTTTCCATCCAGTACTAAACAAAGAGAATAGACCATCATTATTTTTGCTTAATAAGAATAGACAGTCATCATCTTTCTTTCCTATCATATTAAATAAATTTTAGAAAAATTACATTAATCTTTAATCCCCTATCTTCACACTCTACTTCCTTCATAGGCTACTTATACTTATGATCCATCATTCCTTTTCTCCATCCTACTATCAAACACTTAGAATAACAAACATACTTCTAACATTACTATATTGAGAAATGTCAGCATCATTCTTTCTATTACTCTTTTTATTACTCTTTGTATTCACTGTTTGACATGTGGACTCTACTAATATGATATATTATTATTTAAATAGAAAATAAAATAGTGAAGTTCACGTGCTAAACAATAAATACAAAAAAAATGATACTAGTATTTCTCGTCATACTTAGATAGTTATTTGTGGTCTCTAATGTCCTATCGTGATATTTGGGGATAGTCCACCATGCTGATCAGTTGCCAATTGCAGGCGTTGTTGCCGTCTTTGTCGCGCGCAGAGATCTAATTAAAAAAAGAAAAGCACATAAGAAAAGCACACATGTGGGAGAGATCACAACACATTATGTAAATGAAATCTTCCCCTGCGAAGGAATATAGCCGGAGATCCTCATAGCACTTATGGAGATGGTGGTAGGAAGGGGATATGATCTTTTCTTGGTGGTGACAGTCTGAGCGAGTGTAGGTGCAGGGAGATGAGGAGAGGGGGAGAGAGAGAGAGAAAGAGGAAGGAAGAGAGAAACGCTAGGATTATTTTTGTAAGCACAATTTTAATTATGTGAATGCAAAATAAAGCTTGCATCTTGATTAGGGAAGAGTCGGCCAATTGAAAGCGATATTATTAGCATTTAGCAAAGAGTTGTCACACTTGGCTACAAAGAGCTTTTACTGCTGGCCGGGCATGGTCCAAATCCTGTACAGTTTTTGTGGTTATTATTTATCTTATTATATGTATAATATAGATATAAAGATGAGTTTTAATAGTTACGTTTTCATTGGTGGTTTCTTCTGAATATAAAAATTTGATTATGTGATGTGATCAAAATCTAATTTCATTAATTGTTATTAATTTTTTGGTCAATTATTTAATTTATTACAACATTAGATTAATATCTTGTGTATAAAATAATAATATAAATATTAGAGTAACCATTAAAACCACAACCATATAGTGTGTATATATATATATATATATATAATTATGAACTGTTGTTCAAGTAAAGAACTAATAAGGAATGTTGACAATGAAAATTTGTCAACTTAGAATTAACCTCACTACGACTTTTTTTATTTTTTTGAGAATACCTCACCACGACATTCACGTGCAAAATAATTAACAAATTATATTAAAAAGTAAATAGTCACAAAAATTAGATTCAACTGGTATAAGGCTTATGTACTCTTTGACATTCTCTCAAAGAATACAAGAAGGCTTAGAATTCTCTATGAGTGCAAAGTATTGCGTAAATCCTAAAGGAGAAGTGTTTGTCTTTATTTATAGGCCCCTTCCCATGATACAAAATTCGAGATAATCCTTATCTTATGAGTATTTATGAGATATTTAATTTGTTGTTTACAAATAAAAAGTTAAAAATGTAAATAAAAAAACTTTTTATATTAGCTCTTTTTTCATAAGCACGCACTAAGGAGATGGCTTGTTCTAAAAGTACTTAAAAAAGTGAAAAGCACTTAAGGTTGTCCATCTAAACAGATTTAAAAACAGCTTTTAGACTAAATAAGTCAAAAATAACTTTTTAAAGCCAATTCAAACGGATCCTTACATTTTAATTCGAATTCATTAATTTTAATTGCTTAATTCTCTGAGATTCTAAGGATCTTCTGTAGCTTCTAAGTTTTTCTCCGTTTGACTTATCCTTCGACGTATAGATTTCTATTGGTGAAGATCATTGATTTGTTCATTCCTCTGAATTTGTATGGTCAAGGTTTTGTATTTCCTCGACCATAGTGTAACTAGGTATAATGAATGTAAACTATCATATCTTTATGAAAAACTGTTAAATTGTTAATACTTTTTATATAAATATGATCTTATTATTTAGAATTCTTTCTTCTTCTTAGCATTATAAGATCACATTCTATTATTATATATTATAGAGGATGAAAAACGACTTTTGCCTTCACAAGACACAACCCTACCACAAAAGACGGGTTTTTGTAATTTGATTAGCATTGAACATCGATAGAGATTACTTTTGCCACTAAATCTTGTTTTTCTTGTAGCTTCGAAAGATAATCAATCATTTAG